CCCCAAAACCCCAAAACCCCAAAACCCCTTTAGGGTGGTTAGTAATTGAACGACTTTAAACTAGTTTGTGACTTTTAAATGGCTAAAACTTGAAGACAACTTAGAAGGTGAAATTTTAGATATGAAGAGTATCAATGCGTTCGACCTTGTCCCAAACTATTTCTGTGTCCTTTCTGAGCTTCTCTACCCTATGTTGAGGGATTTCAGATTCTTCTAAGAATTTTTGTAGAGGAATCTCCAAGTGTCCTTTGAAACGATCTATATACACAACACTGAAAGATGAAAGTTCATCAGACTCTGTGTTTTTCTTTAGATGCTTCAAGATAGTATCTAAGGTGCGCATTTTCTTCTTTGATAAATCCTTCTTTCCTTTATGATCAACTTTCATAGGTAATTCATGAGCTGTGGATAAGACAACTGCAAAGCTTAGAACTCCCAAGCTAATGCTTCTTATTTTAAGTGGTATTCTTGAGTCTTGATTAAACAGTTCAGTGAAATTTATAAATCAATGGTCAGGAGCAGATTTAGCTTCCTCTAGTTCTTTTTCTTCTTCATGATAATGCTTGCCTTTCTTGCCTCTCTTCTGATTCTTCCCCTTCTTATGCTTATATCTATCCTCCTGATAATCAGGCTGTTCTTCTTCATGCACTATATTTATTATCTCTTTTAGATTACCTTCGCTTGTTTTCTTCTTGCCTTTCTTTCCCTGCTTGGCATGCTTGCCATGTTTCTCTTGTTTTGATTGCTTGCCTTTCTTTGATTTAATTGGTTTAAATTCCATCTCTTCTTCATCATTGCTTGGCTTCCTAGTCTCTTTCTTAGGCTTCTTGCTTGGCTCGTTTCTGAAGTTTCCTCAAATCCATAATTCACCTTTCTTGGTGAGAAGAGCCGTATTTCTACGACCACAAGCGAATCTAAATAAGTATGAAACATTTTCTTCAAAACACAAATCTTTAAGAATTAACAAAGGAAAATTAGATTATTGTACAGGGGCTTTAAATAGCTTACTTCGATCGGTGGAGATTTTTATAGTCGTCTTTGTAAGAGAGAGGAGGTAAAGGGATTTGGGTAGGACTTGTGTAAGATTTTTCAGGCAGCCCAAGCTGACCGAAATGGTTAGACCCCCAACCGTATAAGATAGGAGTGAATTTGGGATGGGTCATCTGGTTTATCTCGTATCTCAGCTTTTTGTGGTACATTGGGTCATAGATTTCAAGCTGGTCCTCCATTAGTTCGGTATCTGCGTTGTAAAGAGTTTTACCATCTATGTCATGATATTTCACTAAATCTGATCACTTTCTGAATCCAACTGTTTTTATCCAATTAGCTGTTTCCATCACATTCCATTCTGTAATTGGTTTAATTTCTGTATTTTCAAAGGCAATCCAATGGGTATAGCTTGCTTCAATTTCAACGATCTGCTTATTTCTAAACTCACTGATTCTAGTTGCAGTTAGTTCTTCTTTATTGCCTTCATCAAATTTTACTATGAAAAGTTCTCCTGATTTATATAAAACCAGAAGAAAATGATTGCCTCATACAATTTTTTGTATGACTTTATTTTTGCTTTCATCTTTAATTTTGGCTCTAAATTGCCTGTCGATTTCTTGAACTTCAGCTCTAATTTCCTTCTGTTCTTCTGTCAGCTTCTCTTCATCATCTTCAGAGTTTTCATCAGTTTTAGTATCTTCCTCAATAATTGCTCCATCTTCATCATACTCGTTGTCATCATTAAAAAGCCCTTTGATTTCAAATGGCTTGCAATCAGCATGAGGAAGCCATCAATAGACTCTGTTATCGATGGTTGCTGCAAACTGTCGGGATACTGATGCACAGACTCACTTGGCTTTATCAGGAAGGTTGATATCGATTGGATCATTTATCTCATCCTCTTCATTTTTGGTAATCGAGTAAACTGTTCCAAAGTTTTCATTTTCATCATCCGCAGATATGTACACTATATCTGCAGATCCGCAGTCGATCTGGATAACACAAGATCCTTCAGGAATATAGTTGATTGATTCATTGATAACCTCTTTAAAGCAACTCTCAAGTTCATGATCTAGAGTAACAAAAGCAGTTCCATCAAATCATTGAGCAGCATTAGCAAATCCTCCACAATGCATTGAGAAGACTCCTTTTCCTTGTAGAGAGTCTATTTTACCAACTTTAGCTTCTTCTAATCATCTCTGTCCTTCTGTAGGATCTAGTTTGATGTTAGCATTTACAGTCTTCACAGTTCTAGTGACTACATCTCCGTACTCTTTGACAAAGTTGAACTTGTTAGAGATTTGTTCATCTGTGAGCTGGTCTATCTCTTGCCTTCTTTTCTTAAATTTCATGGTCTGGTATCCTTTTTCAAAGTATTCATCTTTACAGAGCTCTCTTCCGACATCATACATGTTACGATTAGACTGAATGACTTGTCAGATTTCAGGATCTGACAAGTAAGATAAGATTATTTTATTACATTTTGAATCTAGAGCATCAAGAGACTTCACGCTCTGAGTTTCATTACAATTTTGAGTATCTTCCATGATTTAAAAATTATTTAATTTTATCCCTGGTTTAGATCAATAAGAGGTGTTCACCATGGGGTTTTGGGGTTTTGGGGTTTTGGGGTTTTGGGG